GAGTCATACAGCACGGAAATAGACCCTTCGGTCTAACTGGTCCATGCCGACTGTAATCCCAAACTAAACTAGTCCCACTTGCGTGTGCTAGGCCCATATCCCTCCAAACATTTCTTATTCATCCACTTGTCTAAATGTCTTTCAAATGCTGTATCTGTACCCACACCCACTACTTCCTCTGGAAGTTCATTCCACACACGAGCCACTCTCTGTGTAAAAAGGTTGCTCCTCAGACCCTTTTTAAATCTCCTCTCACCTTAAAAATATGCTTCCTAGTCTTGAAATCCCCAATCCCAGGGAAAGGGCACCTGCCATTCTGTGCCCCTCATGATTTTATAAACCTCTGTAAGGTCACCCCTCAACTTCCTACGCTCCAATGAAAAAAATCCCAGCCTATCCAGCCTCTCCTTATAACTGAAACCCTCCATTCCTGGCAACATCCTGGTAAATCTTTTCTGAACCCTCTCCAATTTAATAATATTCTTGCTGTATCAGGATACTGGGTGCACCGGAAATGGGAAGACAGGTTCAGTAGCTCCTTTGAACAATCACAGAAGCTTTCTTGCCAGTGGGATGTTCCCTCTTATGGGATGCTCACAGATGATCACATCAGGAAGCATGCAAGCTCAGGCACATTTGGGACAGCATGAGGAGGCTCCACATGAAGGAAGCAGATTGTGATAGTAGACGTCATGGTCCTTGCAGCAAGAGTACCGGGGCTGGTCAGGACGAGGGAATCGGGCAGGGAATTATCAATGTGTGATTGCAATCATGGGCCTGGCATATCCTGTTCCCAGGAAAATGGTTGAGGCATCTCTCTTGGGAATGGAGCTGATAGAACTGCGATGATACAGTATCAGGGTGTGCCACATACATTTTATGAGCTGTGTGAGCTCATCTTTCTCACGCACACACACACTCTCTCTCCCGCTCTCTCCCGCACGCGCGCGCGCGCACACACACACACACACACACACACACACACAGCCACACACTCACAGCCATAGACACAGACACACACACACACACACACATTCTCTCACACACACACACACACACTCACACATGCATACACAGCCACACACATATACACTCACAGCCTTACGCTCACAGCCATATACACACACACACACACACACTCACACACACATTCTCTCACACATGCACATGCATACACAGCCACACACATATACACTCACAGCCATACACTCACAGCCATATACACACACACACACACGCACATACTCACACACACACACACATACTTTGTTGCAAGGAACACCTCCTCATGGTTTCTCCTGGTTCTCCAGCTTAGAGAGTGGCCTCTTACTCTAACTGGTTCCCAATGGTAGGTATTATGTCGACACCTTCTCCTACCCCTCCTCCACCCTCCTCCACTTCCCTCGATTGTTCAGCATCCCACTTTCGGCCATTTTTCTACATAATACTTAAATGATGTATCTTTTCATTGGTTCAAAGTATTTACATTTGTTTAGGTCCTTTTGCAAGCCTAGAATGACCCAAAACACATTAGAGCCAACAAAGTATTTTTGAAACACATGTGTCATTGTCACATATGGGAACATGGCAGCCATGGTGCACAGCAAGCCCCCACAAATGTCAATGTGATCATTGATGAGATAGCATCTTTTGTTTTTTTTAACTCCCCTGCTCATCTTGCAAATAGAACCTTGGTATGTTTGATGCTCAGCAGAGAGGGAATACAAGGCTTTATCATTAAGCTGCCATCTGAAAGGCAGTACCTCAGGCAGCAGAATGTGGATTTCTTGCTGGCGTCTCTGTGGCTGCAATGACAGTGTGACCTGCTGAAACACAGTGAGCTGGATAAATCCCTGGGAGTGGCCCTTTGTATAAACTACTCAGGGACATGTCCCGGTCCACTCAACCCCGAGAAAGGAGATGCAAGTCATCGCATCTGATATTCAGAGAATTGTTCTGTATATTTGTACGTTGCAAGGCCACAGGTGTAGTTTTGGAGGAAGAAAACTCTTCTGTCTTTCAAACAACAAACCTGCTGTCTTCCCATTGCAACATCCGGCTCTCTCTGAACTGAATCCAGAGATCCGAACCTCCTGGCACTCATTACAGCTGTTAAACAGCCTGTATGCAATGGGAATATGTCCTAAACTGAAGCAACACATCATTCTGTTGCAAAACCAGACTTTAGGGAGAGCCTAGGGACAACGATGGATTATCCCTCTGGAGAAATGTGTGCAGGTTCTACATAGGAAGATGTGAAAATATGTGTGCGCGCACAAACACACACACACACACACACACACACACACACAAATTGTTGCAGGCCTGCATGCTATACTCTAATTATCTCAGAGGAACAAAAGATTTGCATTTATATTGCAACCTCATCCTCCCTCAAAGTGCTTTGGAGCCAGTGAAGTGTTTCTGAAGTCTCATCACTGCTGTAAGACGGGGCACCCATTGTACACACAGCAGACTCTCATATACAGGCATTGTGTTAATGATATTACAGGAAATCCTCTGTACCCGTGAAATCACAATTCGCAAATTCGCCTAGCCATGACCAAAAATAAGAACAAGATTCAACATCCATGGGCAAAACACACATATCCATGGTTTTCAAAACTATCCTTGAAGTGGAGGTGCCGGTGTTGGACTGGGGTGGACAGTCAGAAGTCACACGAAACCAGGTTATAGTCCAACAGGTTTATTTGAAATCACAAGCTTTCTGGGCACTGCCCCTTTGTCAGATGAAGTCCACTGCACCTGACGAAGGAGCAGCGCTCCGAAAGCTTGTGATTTCAAATAAACCCATTGGGATATCACCTGGTGTCATGTGACTTCCGACCTTAAACCTATTTTTAAACGAGCTCCGCACTCCCATCATTTGCAGGATGCAGAAGAATGACTGTAATCTCTTTCTGGTTACGTTGCTTCCGCAAGAATGTCCCCAGCCACCTTTCGGATTTTGCGATCGGATCATTCATACCCAGCTGAGAGGACAGGTCAGACCTCATCTGAGAAATGGCATCCCTGACAATGCAGCAGCCCCTGAATGCTACACAGGACTGGCCGGTTGGATTAAATGGTGCACTCCAGCCTTTCAAGTGGGGAATTGGGCTCATAATCTTTTGACCCAGAGGTCAGAGTATCACAGCGGACAAGAATAAACTTGAGGAGAAGTGATGGCGTCAGTGTGTTTTTCCATTCACCTCCTCCTTTCAGTAGCATGGGGTTAGTTTATACAGGAGGAACTCTCAGTGCATTTTCAGCACACTGTATGGTCTACAGCCCCAGTTAATTAAGCCCAGCGCGAGGATAGCTGTTATTATAGCCAGGTCACCAGCTTCAATCGAGGCCACCACGCGCAAAGTTGCAGAAAGACACAACGTTTGCATCTCGTTCCACATGATCACGTCAAACCATCTTTTTCCTGCACAGTATGAGTTGGGGGAAGGGAAGGTCAGAAGTCTTCGCATCAGGTTGACTTAATATTTCATTGTGTCCCTGTGGGACTGTACCAAAAATGCCTCACCCTGTCAGCACCCAGTTAAATGTTTTTTCTCCTGACGTTAGTGCAGCAAGCAAACTCAGTCATAGAATTGACATAGAGTCTCTACAGCACACAAGGAGGCCATTCGGCCCTGTATGCCAATGCTGGCTCTTTGAAAGAGCTCTTTAACTACCCACTGCCCCTCAACACTTCAGTAGGCTTGAGGATTTAACCATCACTTTCTGGCTTTCTCTCATTTCTAATTTTCAAGTCGGCAAGTTCATGACTTGCGATATGTCGCTCCATGTAAAGGCCTCAAGAACAGTGGAGATAAATACACAGGAACTTGACTCGGCCCATGCAGTCAGATGTAGCTTCGCAGAGACTCTCCTGGAAGACTAAGATGGACTGGGTTGGCTAGGGGTGGAATCGCCTTTCCTGAACCCCTCCCCATCTTCCCTCCTTCCTCAAATCCCCATCTCCTCGACCTGAGCTTTGGGCAATTATCTCGTTCATAGAATCCTTGGGGAAGTGTGTGTGTGGGTGTGGGGGTGGATGGGCATCAGGTCGACACCGATCCTCCAAAAGTGCATTCCACCCAGACCCATCCCCATAACGCTGCATTTCCCATGGCCATTACACCTAACCTGCCCATCTTTGGACTGTGGGAGGAAACCCATGTAGACACAGGGAGAATGTGCAAACCCCACACAGGCCAGTCACCTGAGGGTGGAATCAAACCCAGGTCCCTGGTGCTGGGAGGCATGAATGTATCTATGAACTGTTAAAGCAGGCACTAGCGGGTGTGACTGCGAAGCTTAAATCTGTCATGAGTTTGGTAATAGCCATCCGCCCCCTACACGAACCACCTCTGTTTGGGTCTCCCTCCCTGAAAGGTATTTCTTGATCTCCACAAGATCTCCCTTGACAATGGGAGCGAGTCAGTTTGAGGGGAATTGGGCCAAGCCCTGGACACTACGTCATGACACACGTTACAGCTGGAGCCCTCTTCATACTGTGGCACTGCTGCAGACCGCCACAGTGCTCCTTTGAGGCCGAGGACAAAAATCTGTCAACGGCATCAAGGTCCCTTCGCTCCCCACCGTTCAGAATTCCCTGGAGTCTCCAGTAAGGAATAACTAATCCCCTGGAGGCTGTTGCAAGCAATCCAGAGAACCATTAAGATGGCAGTAGAGAGTTGGAGGGTGGGCGTGAGGGTCCTTTAAGGAGCACTTGTACTGTGGCAAGTTTCATTCCTTCCTAAGTTGTCTTGAAGCCTCGGGAATTTAATGATTAATCTCCCAGCCACGACTCCATGTAACCCAGAAGGTGCGTCACAGATGAAGGAATTAGCAAAAAAAAGTTTCTCTTTTATTGTTTCTGAACACTCGGTTGTTCATTGTACAAAATATCACAAGCCCAGCGGGGGAAATCTGTTTGATTGGGTCCAATGGAAAGTCTGGGGGTGGTGAACTGACTGATTCCTTTCTTCTGTCCTTGTTTCCAGGATGAGTTGGATCTCACTGACAAGAACCGAGATGCTATGTTTGCACTGCCCATGGAGAAGAAATGGCAAATTTACTGCAGTAAGAAGAAGGTATGTGGCAACAATGTCTTTGAGTTGTGATTAATGCAGTCAGTGGAAAGAGTGTGGGAGTGTTTTAAGGCATTGTGTTTCATCTTTGTATGGAGCAGAGTTGCGCAAAGTTCCAGCAGTTTTCTAAAAAAAAGGGGTGTGTTGGCTCAGTCTTTGAGTCAGTTTAAGGTAGAGGTACATAGATTTCTGATGACCAGTGGGCAGATATCAGAATGGGATGAGTGAAAGGTATTGATGTGTTCAATCAACCATGACAGCTATTGGAGTTGGTTGGCTCTGTTGGCTGGATGGCTGTTTGGCAGTTTGGCAGCGTAGAGTGAGGTTACAAGGCATGGGTTCAGTTCCCATCACCTTGACCTTGCGCATTCCCTGAGGTGTGGTGAGCCTCAGGTTAAAATTGTCACCAGTTGTCACTTTTTAATGAGAGCGTGGGACTATGACTCGATTGTAGTGATAGGTGGGAAAGGCTGAATGGTCCACTTCTTGTGGCCTAAAAAGCTGATGAGAAGATCTTCGAGTTCCTATTCCTTTTATCACCCATGCAGTAATTTGGACTGCAGGCATTCCTAATTCATTGGTTGCTGGACGAATAATGCAAAGAATTTGAGTTCAAATCCCTTGTGACAATTTAGAATTCAGTCTTAAAAATCAGACTGTAAAAGTGACCATGAAGCTGGTGGATTGCGTTTAAAAAAAATTCAGTCGATGTATTTAGGGAAGAAAATCCAGTCTGTGACTGGATTTCCACATCGATGTGAAGGGCTGTGAACTGCGCCCTGAATAGGCCTAAAAAAGCCACCCATAATGCTACAGAAATGGATTGCGCCAATTTAAGAAAGTCTTCCGAAACTCTCTATGGAGGAGCAGTTGATGCTAGCCTCTCCAGCAGAGTACACATTCCAAGAACGAATTATCAATAGGCTGATTCATAAAGTCATACAGCACAGAAGAGGCCCTTCAGCCCATTGAGTGTGCACTGACCTATCTACACTCATTCCACTTTCCAGCCTTTGGTCATAGGCTTGCACACATAGCATTGTGAGTATTGTTTCCGCATGTTCTGTTTTCTCCACTATGTGAGGTACCTCCGGGTAAGATCTGGCAGTGGATCGGCTTTGCATTGTTCTGTTGTGTTTATTTGCCTGGGTCATGATGTGGCGTTGAAGCATCAAACTCAAGTTCTGAATCGTGCACACGGGGGGATTTAAGTGGGGTGTTGTTTTCAATTGTAGGATAGAAGGACACAACAGGTGGAAAAAGATCTCTAACCACTTAGCTGTCTCTTGGTAACTGTTCATTATCATTTGCGACAGGTCACCCGGAGAATTGTACAGCACAGGGGGGCCGTTCAGCCCATCTTGATGGTGCTAGACATTTTGAAAGACTTATCCAGTTTGTCCCACTCCCCTGTTCCTTTGATGGAACCCCCTTGAAGTACTTATCCAATTCTGTTTTGAAAGTCCATATTTAACCAGCTGCTCTTTGAGGTAGTGCATTGCAGATCATCGGAACTCATTGCCTAAATAAAATTCTCTTAATTTCATGTGATTCCTTTTCCTTTCAAGAAATGCAGTAATTCTGTATCTTCTGTCACAAGCCACAAGCAGAAACAGTTTCCCATTATCTCCTCAATTAGAATCTTTAACCTCCTGTTAATCCTCCCTTGTATCCTTTCTTTATAAAAAGGTTGCCCGAACTCAATAGACTGATACTACAGTTGCATTGAAGTCTTAAATATGTTCACTGAGATCCCTTTGCTTTTGCATTCAATACCTCTGGGACAAAAACATAGAATTCTTTATATCTTTTCATGGCTTAAATCACTTACGGTAACAACTTTAAATTACCAATATATCTAGATATTAAGCTACTTCAGCTCCTCTATTCAATTTAGCCTCTTCCCAATTAAATTATATTCTTCCTTCCAAAATGTAGCACTTCACATTTGTCTAAATGTAACTGTGTCAGCTCCTATATGCATATCCAGTCAGTTTGTCTGTGGATGTAGCAATTACAAGCCAATTAGTCTAACATCAATAGTCAATAGGAAACTTGCAGAAACATTAAGGTAGAACAAAATTAATTGGTCCTGAGAAAAATATGGATTTTAAATGAAAGCCAGACTTGATAAAGGCATGATAAATTTGACTAACTGGATTTTCTTTGATGAAGTATGGGAAAGGATAATGGTGAGACTGTTACTGTTGCATATTTGGATTTTGATAACGTTTCTATCTTCTTAGCAAATAGAAGCACTAAAAGACGCAGTAAACGTGCAATTTTTCCAAGAGATGGGAAGATGGCGCCAGTGTCGGGTTGTTTTTCAGTTTGGATAAGAGCCTGAAGTGTTGTAACTTTTCCAGTTGGTACTGGGATCCAATGATATGAATTCTTTTATTTCCTTTCAAAGAATTATGTAAGATTAGTCAAGCGTAAATGTCCTTCACACGATCCACCCTGATGACAAGGGGCATAGCAGAACTATCATGCAATGATTTTCCTCATGATAATCACGTCCTTGCTGTTAATTTTTTGTTGTTGACAGATGTAATATAGGGAGGAAAGTGAATTTCTTGTCAGTCACTCTGAGCGTATAGCATAAAGCATAACATGATGGAAAATATTTTTCAGCCTCATCAATAATCCCATTGGAGTTGACATCAATGAGATAATTAGCTTGGATTGAACAAATAACATGGTTCCTTTAAGATGCCTATGCCATAATCTATATCTTATTGAAAATGTTTCACAGTGCAAGCATTTTCTGGCTGCAAATCTGATTCATGGTATAATTAACCTTACTCATGTATTTGTGTCAGCATCTGCTGCTTATAGGTTACAGTGTCAGGGGGTAGATTGTAATCCAGGCTTTAGGGGTCTCATCTACCAGCTGGAGAGCTTGTGGGGGCCCTGTACCCCATCCACTGGAGGAGGTTAGACATATGAGGTGCCAGTCGGGTGCTTAAGTGGCAAACAGGAGGACCTTCCCTGGGATCAATCACTTGAAGGGCAGGGGATCCTATCTCCCCAAGAACTGCTTACCCATCAGACTGTTAGCACTGCTCCCCCTGGTAGCGCTATCTCATCCCTCTGTCTCTATCACGGGCTCAGGATCCGAGGTGAACAGGACAGGGATGCCAGGGATGGGGGTGGTTGGTGGTGCAGGGAGGGTTTGGGAGTGGGAGGTTGTGGTTTCTGGGTGGGGCCAGTGCTCATGCGAAAGAACCAATGGTTGGTTGTCTCAAGGCTTGCCTTGCTGATGCCAGCCTCCTTGATCAGGAACTGAGTATTCCCCAGTGGTACCTTGCAGCGTTGGACAATTTGATGCTGTTTGCTTTGTGTGCGCCCTTCACAGTAATTGCACTGTTCGCCATTGGTATTAATTCCCCACCTAAGGGTCTCCACTGACATCAGGGCACGTAGACTGTCTGTCATCTTGGAATGAATCAGGCCAAAACGGGAAGGCAATGGGGTCCTCCCACCAGACACATTTTCGTCCAATCTATTGCCTCCAATCCCACTTCCAATCCAACCCTGGAGAGAACATTAAATTCCAGCCAATAATTCCCGTTGAGTCATTTCATTGGTCACATTACAGTTGCAGGATCTGACCACAAGGTGACCCCATTGAGTGAGTTGCTTCAGTGTCTTCCCTCGGCCCGTGGCCATCTTGTCTCTAGGGGAGGGGGCAAACTGACCATGGCTAAAGGTGTGAACGATTTACTTGTAAACAGTGCAAAACCTCAAGGGTCAGCATGAGCATTTTGGAAATGACAAAATTGATTGAGGTAAATTGTTCACTGTGAAATACTTTGAACAGCCGTGTGGGCCACAAATTAAATATTTGGAGTGAGAAGAGAGAGGTTCTTTCATCCAAAGGTCAACAAAAGACTAGACCATGGTCTCTGGAGTTCCCTATAGGTTGGGATGTCATAAGAAGCTGTGGGGCAACTATTGTTCCCTAGGAGCCATTGTGCCATTGTTCAACAGTAACGTCCCATAGAAGCCAGGGACGAATTTTCCAGCTGTATTTTGTTCAGTGGTGTTGGTTGAGGAATGAATTTTAGGAAAGAGACTGGAAAGTGCCTCCCATTGGATTTTTTCAGGCAAATGCTGGGAAGACTAAGATCTCAGCTTCACCCTGACCAGAAACTCTATTTGCTTGCTTTTGATTCTCCCCATCTACATTGTCCGTATGCTGGCTTATTCAGGTACCTTTGCTCCATTTCATCACAAGCAAAAACCTCAAACCGTCACCCTCCCCACAGCCCCCCACCCCAGCCCCCCCCCCCCCCCCGCCCCAACCTATATTTTTTCTATTCCAGAAAGACTGCTGACTTCCACATCAGACATGGAGTAATTCATGGGGATGTCTATTAAAAAGTGAGTGGACACTGGTTCTGAGTTCAGTCCGCTTGTTCAGTGATTTCTAGTTGAAAACAGCAGGAGTTTGCCTGCATCACCACATCTATTGAGGCCCTCATCCATAAGGCCTGAGAAGCCAGTCAGCCCATTGAGTCTGCTCTGCCATTCAATGTGACCGTGGCTGATCTGATAATCCCCAACTCCACTCTCCCGCCTTTTCCCCATAAACCTTGATTCCCTCACTGATTAAAGACATGTCTTTAATATTCCAGTGCTCTCCTGGCTGATCTCTATAACATTTAATTTCTCCATTTACTATACTTCACAAATCACCACCTCTGTTCTTGAAGGTCCAAATTGGTTCACTGTTCTCCCATAACCTCAAATTTAAATGCATTCCCCTTTCGTTGAACTGTCCTTATTTGCCTCACCCCCTCCTTGATTCTGTAACCTGTTCGAACTGTTCAACCCAAAATGCCATGTTCTTCTGACTCTGCTTCTTCCTCGGGACACCACTCAGGCTGGACTTTCAGTTATGTAGATTCAACAGTCAGGAATTCTTGCTCAAGATACCTCTGGCTGTTTAGTCCCATTTAGCATCTTCTCAATGTCCATAAAGACCATAAGATACTGGA